CCAGGAACAGGGCCGCACTAGCAACGGGCAAGCACGCACACAAAGTTCCACTCGCGCGAGCGATGGGCGTTTGTGTTCACGTGTGAAGCTCCACTCGTAGAAATGGAGCTGCGCACACCTGCCTCTCGCATGGAACCATCTCAGTGGTGGGATTCAAATTTTTTTACTACCAGTTCTGTGGGTGTGGCTTATTTTTTGAGTGTGGCTTAGGGGGTCATGTGACTGGGTGGGTGTGGCTTATTTGGTGGGCATGGCTTGGCTGTCATGTGACTGGCTGGGCGTGGCCAAGTCACCGTCACTGACTTCTTTGCCCTAATGACCTACAAAAAGAAGATCTATGAAAAGGTAGTTTGTTATTTTGTGCACTTACTACTTAAATAAGACTAAAATAAGTACACAAAACACTGAAGGAGATACACAAGTACTTACATAAGAATGATAAAAGTGCTGTGTGTCTTCAATGTCACCGACTTCTTTGCCCTAATGCAGAGGTCCCCAAAGTTGGCAACTTTAAGACTTCTGGACTCCAACTCCCAGAGTCCACGAGTCTTAAGAGTTGCCAAGTTTGGGGACCCCTGTCCAACCAGTTCCCAACAAGCGAAGCCAGTTAGGGAAGCCAGGCGAGCTTCATGACTGTGTGATTCACTTAACGACCACAATAGAGAGGGTGGTAAGTTTGAGTCGCTTAACAACGGCATCAATTAGCAACCAAAATTCCCAGTGCCAAGTAGGATCATAAGTGAAGTGTATCTCGATGGTAGATGTTTTTTGCCAAAGTCTTATGTTATGTTTCGCCAGTGCAGCTGGCAACGGAATCGGACAGTGGGGAAGAACGGGGACCAGTCTGGGAGTCTGGAGAAGACTCGGTCCTGCGTCCGATGCAGAGATGGGGCCAGGACCATCTGGGAGTGGGGGGCTGCCTTTGGAGTCTGGCAGCAGCGAGGTAGAGGACCCAGTGGAGCCTGTTCCCAGTGCCCGTGTGCGCAGAGCTGCTAGAAGGCAAGAGCAGCTGAAACAAAAGGGGCGACTCAGGAGTAAGGCTGGGAGGTGATTGCCCCTCCCATAAGGGATAAAAGTCAGACTTCAATGACAACACCTTTGCAGGAAGCAAGGTAGTTTGATCGGTTTAGAGTCCTCCTTGAAGCTCTATAAAGTCTGGTGGGGTTTTTTTCTGGTACTTCGGTTGGTTTCTGTTATAATTAAATTGGATGCTTCTGTTTTTGGCAGCATTCCACAGCACTGAAAGGTGTGTGCTTATCTTGGGGAACTCTTTAAGTTCTGGCTGGGAATGAAAGCAATTCCCAGCGTTGCAATAAAATAGGTTTTGCTTTTAAAACAAGTTTGTGTTTAATTACATTTGACGAAGCCTGGGTCAGAACATCTTATTCTTGATGGTGAGGCATGGTCCAATATGGAATATCAACTGCTAAGGAAAGCTCTCGTTTTCCAGACAGAGATGGACATTCAATCCAATGCTTTGAAGAACTGTTGCAGGAATTGGGGATGTCCAGTCCGATGAAAAGAAGGACTGGGAGGGGGGACATGATATCAGACTTCCATTATTTGAGGGCCTGCCCCAAAGAAGAGGGAGTCAACTTATTCTCCAAAGCACCTGAAGGTAGAACCAGAAGCAATGGATGGGAACTAATCAAGGAGAGAAGCAACCTAGAACTAGGGAGGAATTTCCTAACAGTGAGAACAATTCATCAGTGGAACAACTTGCCTTCAGAAGTTGTAGGTGCTCTATCATTGGAGGCTTTCAAGAAGAGACTGGACAGCCATTTGTTTGGAATGATATAGGGATTCCTGTTTGTGTAAGGGGTTAGACTAGAAGACCTCCAAGGTGCCTTCCAACTCTGTTGTTTTGTTATTCTGCTCTCTCTCTCTCTCTCTCTCTCTCTCTCTCTCTCTCTCTCTCTCTC